AAAAAAAAAAAAAAACAGGCAATGAAGTATACACCAGCTACTTGTGCGCAACAACAGCAGCGGTAGCATTAAAGCCAATCCCCTCTTCAGCCCCATCAACATCGCCCTCCTCCTTATCATCGTCCTGCAGAATGAAGGCTTTTTCATCCTCCGCGCTGAGACGCCGCCGCACATGCCGTGTCTCCACTACGCCCATCCCTTCATCTCCTACTCTCCAAAGTGCGTCGGCGTCCTCCAACAGCAACTCCATCCGCATGGCCAGAGATGAGAAGGCATTGAAGGAGCCATTCTCCGTCAGTGTTGCCACTCGCTGCCCCACATCGCTGTCAGTGCTGCTGAGACCACCTGGGCTGGCGGGCATAGCCGCAACAGAGGCCAGTTCCTCTGGAAGGCCTTCACAGAAACGAAGACAGGCATCACAAAGAAACCTCTGCTGCGCCTGCAGTGTGACGATTTGCTCCTCAGCCACAGCAATAAGACAGCCACACAGCAGACACAATTGTTTTGGGCTCTCACCAGCACTCTGTGCTGCGGGGCACGTCTCATCCTTAAGTCGCCAAGAGTAGCGTGGTGGGGACGTAGCCTGCAGGTGCTTGTAGTGGTGCTGTGCCGTCTTGCCAGGGATCACCCGTTTCGCTTGCTGCGCTGTTGCTCCCAACTGCAGGTCTACGTCCGTGGGCTCCGACGCCGTCTCAACGTCGAGTTTCGCGATGGTGTTCAACACGTTAAAGACGGATGTGCGGTATGAGCGCATCATATTGTTGAAGAAAGCTTCCAGCGTGCGATTGATGGAGCGCAGGCTCGTGCAGGTGCACAGCGCTGGGGTATAGCCACCCCATATCTCCTGCAGGTGGCAGTACTGCACCAGCTCGCGCGGTAGCAGTGTGCGCAGCGGCCGCAGCACAAGGCATTGATTGACAAAACCTCGAAAGCCGCCATGGTGAACGACGTTCGCGCCCGCGCCACTCATAACTTCTCGGAACGCCGTTGTGCAACAGCGCAGCGCATTTTCTCCCACCAGCAGGTGATGCCAGCCGCCGCTCCTGCGTCGCTCTTGCTTCCACGCATTGATGCGATCGGCCGCAGCAACCGACAGCACACGCTGCCGGAGACGCGTGTGCAGCAGCTCGCGGTCCGACAGCGACAGACGGGGGTGATGCAGAAGCGCGTGGAATGACTGCAGCTCCGCCTCGGACAAGTAGTCGCTGTAGCGCACAACGCACACTTCCTCCTCAGTGAAGAGTGGGGCACTGGCGAACTCCCACTGCGTGCACTGTGTGCGTATCATCGCCTCCAATCTGTCAAACTGCTCTGTCATGGTAGCCACTACGCGTTGCAGCTCCGCCTGCTGCTGCTGCGCATCGCAACGCTGCGGCGGAATAACGAGTTCATCCTCTCGCAGGTGCAGCGGCAGAAACTCGAAGTCAACGCGACCACCGCCCGGGCGTGTGCGGTTCTGCGCGCGCAGCACGCCCAGCTGGTGCAGCAACGCCATAGAGCTGTGGCCGCCCGACACCGCCACCGCGAGCGGCTCCCCGCACGGTACGCCGCAGTGCCTGAAGAGACAGTCCCGCATCAACCGTGTGCAGAACTCGAGGAAGCAACCGCTGCAGTACGGCTTGCTGGCGCCGTCGCGGCTGCACACCACGCCGGGCTGGCCCTTGCACTTAAAGCACACCACCATCAGCCAGCCTTCTCTTTCCCGCTCTCTCTCTCTCTCTCTCTCTCTCTCCCCAGGATATATTTATATATGTGTTAAAAGAGAACCAGCGGCTAAGAGTGCTAAGGGAAGAGAGATAGAAAGGGCCACACTGATGCAAAGATCGCCGCCGAGGCTGTCGCCATATGGCGGCGGAAGAAACAAGGATAGGGACCCTACAAACGAGACGCGATTAAGCGAAAGAAATGAAGACTCAAAGATGCAGGTACGTACAAAATGACGATGGTCATAGTGATGAAACATCTGGTGAATTCGCGTGAAGCAGGAGAGGCATACGCGGAGAACAGCAACACATAAAACCATGAGGTATAGCGGCTTCAACAGCAGTAGCACACCATCGCACATCAGCAGGAATCGAAACATGATAACAGAAGCCAGGCAATGACAAGGAAAATCAAACGAGGATGAATGAAGAATGAAGGCCCACACAAACATTCGCCCACTGTCTTCTTTCCACCCAGGGTTGAACGGCCCACACAGAAAAAAAAA